AATGTCATGTCTTGTCTACTGTGGTGTGTTTCTGAGGGGCCTTGAAAGATGTGTGTTCTGAACTCTCAACACTCTGTCCTGCAGTTGGAATGTGGATGTTTAACAAAGTAATTCTTTCTTCCTAGTGATCATTATGTACAGTATAACCTCATAAATCTGGCATGCTCGGAACTGAGCCATCTGCCAGAAATTTGAAAATTCTGTGGTTTTTTTTGTTGGTTTTTTTTGTTTTTACACTGGAGCAGCGGCTGGTTGCAGAGCATGGTGGGGGGCGGTGGTGGTAATGGCAGCTGGTCCCAGAGCAGCGGCCGTATGCAGAATGGGGTGGTGGCAGCTGCCATGTGGAAGCTTCCCCCTCTGTCTGGTGGGGGGAGTGGAAGCCAGTCTTGGAGCAGCAGCTGCATGTGGAGCAGTGACCCGGGGTGGTGGATGGCAGTGGCAGCCACCATGTGCAAGCTTCCCCCTCCATGTCCAGGGGAACAGAGGGGGAAGCTTAAAGTGCTGGATTTTTGAGAATTCCAGATTTTTGAGATCCGAATTTATGAGGTTATACTGTAATGGAATTACACACTCTGAGTAAAATTCTTTTCCCCTCTTAGTCACTGTAGCTTTCACTCTCCTGTGGCATTGTTGCTTCACTATTTCTCTCAGTCATTGTAGAGAATTCTACAGCAGACGAGATCTGAATTAACGTAACAGTGTAATTGCAAGATGCTAACAAAAGTCATCAGGAAATTTTTTGTTAAAACCCATCCTGGCGTTTTGATTCATCAAATGCTATTTTGTGTGAGGGAGAGGCACAGACACTCCTCCACCCCCCACTGTAGTTCAGATGCCCACTTTGATACATATCCACTTACACTAAATGCATCAGTAACTACTACTAGTGCATGAGTCTAATCTGACTGCATTTTCCTTTATGTTAAGGAAGTATCTGCCCTTGGTTGCTCAGTGTTAGGGACCTGAATTTTTCATTTTGGTTTCGCAGCTGGAAGGAGTGAGAGAGGGAGTGAAAAAGTAGCACTTCTAGATCTAATGTGGAAAAAGGTTTATAGTCTCTTTCCTAGGGTTGTCAGTGTCATGTATGGTCAGTCTTCAACACAACAGGCAGCATCAGCATTTGCAGTGTATGCTGTCAGTGCCCTCCGAGCTGTGCTCACAGCTGCCAGGTGGAAGGAGGCTCTCACCATTTGAATTTTTCAAGCATTGTACTGAGGTCAGGAGAGGGGCAGTGCAGTGATCGATTGGTGGTGCTGCCTGGGGTTTAATTTCCTGCCTTGATCTCTTCCTCACACTAAACCAGCAGAGTTTGGTGGTGTTCTCTGCCCTGAGGTGGGAGAAGAGAGATATCACTCCATCCCCTCATTCAGAAGACATAGGGCTTCTTGTGTTGATTTGGAATCAATGGGCCCAGTGTCAAAAGTATTAAAATGACTTTGTTCCTGTACAATAATTAACCTTGATCCAAGGTTTTGAGTACAGAGACCTCAGCCTGCTTCACCCCATGGCTACAACCACCATAAGAAATTGATAACCTGTTATTCCATGCACAGAAGAAGGAAATTTTATTAAAGCATTGGAAATGAAATGTTTTAAGTAAGGCCTTTACTTTAACAGCACCCTCTGTTTCCTTTCACATTGGCTGTAGGGTGTTTTTTTTTTAATAAGGAAAACCACTGTTTGACATTGGGTGGTGTTAAAGATGGAAATAACCCTCCTTTTCTTGAGGTAGGGGAGGAAATTGGTTGAGTCTAACTGAAGTTGCTGCTATCTGTCTTCTTTCTTTATGTCCAAACAAGACAGAATCACACAAGACAGAAGAAAAATATAGTAGGTAGATGATGCAGTTTCTATCCCTGGTACTGATTCTTGCAAAACTTGCTTCTGGGTAAACATAAGTTGAGCACAGAGTATTTTGTCAGCCACTCTGGTGACTATCAAGCTTGTAACAGGTGTATAAAGATTGCTTTCAGCTGTGTTTGGGAAATCATAGAAGTGATGCACCCAGGCTCTTCATAGATGGAAGGCAAAAGGAGAAAGTTGGGGGAGGAGGGGGAGAGAAATGAACTAAGAAAGGAGAGGGTAAGAGCAGGAGTCCAAGTCTTGTATCCCAGATGCTGTTCAAGACGTACCCAAAGTTGGTTGAGGTGAGAGATCACCTGGCTCCCTCTGTCTTTGACCTGGTCTAGTCGGTACATCTCTCAGGATCAGGGTGAAGGCCCCACAGTGCCATAGTAGATCCTGAAGTCCCAGGAAGTGATGGAGATAGCAGTACAATGATAAAACTCACTCCGTGCAGGCCAACTGCCTTCCACAAAGTTTGCCTTGTAAGGAAGTCCAGAAGGATGAGGTGCAAGAGCTCATCCCCTCTTTCTGTTATCTATCAGTCAGACCCAGTTTTTAGCATGCCAGTTTTGGGCCATCCATTTTCCATTCTGTTCTCCTTTTGTTTTACCTCCTTCTCTTCCCCCTTCCCCAACCACCCCTCAGTCTTAACACAGTCCTTGGGTAGTATATGGACCAATTCCAGTTTTATGCCTTTCAGTTGTTGATTTTTTTGTTAAAAAAAGAAAATGGAACAGATTGAGTTGGGCTTTTGCTATCTTGGACATGTACAGCACAGGCCTCCAGGGCAAAAGTTGTGTTTGTGGATGCAGGTCTCGGGGATTTACAATAAATGCTGAAGTCCCTTCTACAGGGAAGAGAACAGATGCTGCTACAGCTTGGAAAGGGAGTGGACACCGCAGGCTTGGGCTGAATGCAGCCTTGAGCTGCCTCGTTTTTTTAACATATAGTCTGCCGTAGCTTCTGGTACCATCAACTTGAGATTCCCTGTCCAAATTCATGAGAGCTGCCTTCATGGCATAACTCATTTCCACAGGCTGCTTTTATCACAGTACAGTAGTTTCACTGTACTTTGTTTTATCCTATCAGGTCCCTGACAGACTGCCAGCACGACCCTCAAACAGGCAAAGTTTGAGTGCTCCAGCTTATTGCAACTGCCCAGACAGATTCCTCTGGGGATCACAGGGGAGCTCCTGGGATGGTGTGACTTTGCTCAGGCACATGGTTCCCAGATATATCTGGAGCTATTTGCTGTCATCCTCAATGCCCATTCTGTTACTTCTCCATGTTTGTCTCTCACCAGCGTGCGTCGTACCCAAGTCATCGATGATGAGTCGGATTACTTTGCCACTGACTCCAACCAGTGGCTCTCCAAACAGGAGAGGGAGGTGTTGCAGAAGAGGGAGAAGGAGCTGCGTGAGCTGCGCCATGCTTCCCGACTCACCAAGAAAATCACTATCGACTTTGCTGGCAGGCAGATCCTGGAGGAGGAGGACAACATGGCTGAGTACCACAGCAAGTGAGTAGGTGGTGCTGGATATGGGGAAAGGGAGATGAGGAACACTGTCAGTGTCTGTTGGAGGTGGCCCAGCTGCTTGAGATCAGCTTCCTCTCTCTGCATTTTTCATTGCTGGGAACATGCAGGACCCTGAGCTCTTAGCTGCTGATTTGTTCCTGCCAGTTATTTCTCCCATTTGCAGTTTCATCCCTCTAAAGTTTCAGCTATGGTGGCACAACCAAAGAGTTTGGAGGCACTTGCTTCTGAAGCAGATGAAGCTTCTGAGGATGGGAGAGTCATTTGCCATGCTATGTTGGGTAATACAGAAATAGAAAAAGTGGGGAGTGGTGGTTGAATGATGATTTGATGTTCCTTCATTCTTTCCATTCTTAGGTATTTTTCAAATTCCATGGACAGGGGATGCTTCCCAGCAAATGAAATTCCACCCTCTCTGGGATGGAACATGGCAGGCCTTAGCTGTTTAACTTGATTAAATGTGATCCAATTCTACCTCACTCAAGTCCATGAAAAGAAGTCTGTGCCATCTTTTGTAACATGCCATTTTCTGTACCTTAAAAAGGCATTATAAGAAGCAGCAAGTGGTGAGGGGGCTTGCCCATCCAGCATTTGCATGAACCTTTTTTCATGGACTTGAGCAGGACAGAATAGGATCCAGCCCTCTGGGTTTTGCAGCGCTGCACCCTAATTGTGAGTGGGGGCAGTGAAGGTTATCATCTCAGGAAGGAAACTTGTGGATGGGCTTGCACAAAAAGGGATCTTGCCTGGCCCCTCGGGATGTTGGAAGAATGGTTAGGACACTGGCTGGGGAGGTGAGACATTTGGGTTTAAGTCTCTGCTTTGCCTCGGACCTTCTGTGGAATTCAAACAAGTTACCCAGGCTCCCTGTAAAACAGGGCCATCACCCCACCTCACAGGGACATACATCCCAGTGGAAAGTGTGTCCATGATTCAGTCAGAATTTTCTTTATGCTGGCAGGTGCATTGGTGTTCAGGGGGTAGTGGCTGTCCTGAGAAAAGGCAAAACCGAGCATCCCCATCTGTAGCAACCATATCTTGAGGTCCTGAAAGAGCAGGATTGGCTTCTCTGACTTGAAATACAAGGAAAGGAGAGCACAGGGGGAGCAGCCTGGTTGATGGGGAGGTGAAAAGAAATGGTTGGGTGAATTGGGGACCTTGAGAGGCATTGCCAGCCAAAGGGTGGGAGGGAGCAAGGTGTGTAAAAATAGTTTATTTCTGTTTTGCAGACTGGATGAAACCATTGAGGCCGTTCATAGTGGCACGTTGAGCAAGCCATTGAAGAGCCCTGATGGGAAAAGTGCAGGGGTGTCTGGGGTTCTGGTGAATCCCTACCTGCTCCAACCTGCACCTTTGGTCAGTGCAACTTCAGTGCTTTATCCCTGAGTGTTAACTAATATTTGAGAGAGAGAGGGAGCTGAGGATTGCATCTCCCTGTGGGACAGGGGATGCCTCTTCCTTCCCTGGCTTTCTCAGAGATACCTCAGGCTTGGAAAAGGCCTTCTAGTCAATCCCCTTCCTCCACCTATGTAGGATTTTTACCTGTTGTGTCATTACTTTGTCCTTAAAAGTCCTGACTTATTAGGCTCAGCCCTGCCTCAGCCTGACCTGTTTCACTCTTGGAAAGGTTTCCTGAGGTTCAGCCTAAAGCAGTTTTCCTTCTCAGTTCTTGTTTGGAGAGACTCCTCCTACTTTTACCCCCTCAGCCATAATCTTCCTTCTGTAATATCCCCTCTGGTCTTTACTTGTTTTGTGCATAGTGTGTGCTTGTGCTCAGACACTTTAGAGCATTAAAGGGTTCTTGCCATTTGTCTGCTGAGTTGGATCATGTTGGATCCTGCAGGCTTCATGTCCTTCTGTCCATCCCAAGCCCCTGTGCCTTTCTTCCCCTTTTCTTAGCCCCTTGGCATCATTTAGATATTTTCCCTGGGCTTGGTGGGAACTTTTAGGTGTTAGCTGTTGGCTTTTATTTCATCCCTTTTGAAAAGGAAAGGAGCATGATCGGTTAATATTATAGCCCTGAGCACTACTGCTACCTCCAGAAGGGCTCTGTGGCTGCACCAGATGGCTGACTCGGAATACCAGTGTCCCATCTGGCAATCCATGATATAAGAGGATTGTCTGAATGGTGCCTTTAAGCCTCCATTAAACTCTTCTGAGTACCACTGCAGCCAGCTGGGCAGTGATCAGCTGAGTGAATTTTGAACATGCTGCCTGCTTGTGAATGCTGTGGGACACCCCTTTGTTGTTCTGCTCTTTAAAGACATGGCTGAGCTGCAGGGCATGTGAAGTGAGAATTGCTTTTACTGCTACCAGGCAGAGACTGCAGACTTTGATGGGCCATGCTCCATCTCACTGTGAGTGACTTGCACTCCTTTGCTTGCTGGGCTTGTTGTCTGTGTGGACAGCTTGATGAAGGCAGACTGATAGCCTACATCTTGCCATGGGCTCACTGACTGCTAGCATCTCTCAGGATATATTATTTTCCTTCTACTTCAGATCTAGCTTGGCCAGCATTCACCAGAGAAGGCTAAGATAGGCTTTCTGAGGCTGTGGGGCAAAGAGTTAGTTCTTCTAACTCAGTGAGGGAGGAGCCATCATACCCACTATTTTTAAAAAAAGGAAAAGGGAGAGGTATTAATCTTCTCTTATCTGTCTGTTTTAAACATGGTGTAGTGGGTGGATCAGACTGGCCTGCTCCCACGTAGGAAAATCGCCCAACCAGCAGATGCTGAGAATGAGCCTGGCTCTGAAAGGAGCAGGTTGCGGATTCAGGACCGAGAGTTGCAGGAGATCTCAGATGATGGCTGGTGCCTCAGCATGCACCAGCCTTGGGCTTCCTTGCTGATCAGAGGAATCAAAAGGTAAAAGAGGGCACAGAGCAATGATCTGTTCTGTTCTCAGCCATACACAGCTCTTGCTACAGGGATGGGAAAAGAAGCCATGTTCTGTTAAGGAAGGGATTTTTCAAACAGAGTGCCAGGGCACACTGGGTTGTCACCAGAGCCTTTGAAGGGTGCCTAAGGTGTGAGGAGATAATCAGATAAGCTAAGCGGGTAAGTCCAAGGTCAGGCTGGTCCCAGCCTGAATGATCCTCCACCCCCACTGCCTAGCCCTTCTGCAAAGAGGTAAAGTATCAACATGTTTTGTATCAATGTAACATACCAACATGTTTTTAAAATTGGGTGCCACTCAATTCATAAGTTATGGAGGGGTGTCTTGAGTACAAAAAATATTGAGAACCACTGCTCTACAGACTTCAGAGGGTGAAATTTCCATTGCAGAGATTCTGAGTAGGTGTTTAGGGTGGCTGGCCCTGGGTAATAGGAAAATACAATCCTGGCTCTTTTCAGCTAGTTCACTAATAAGACAGGCAGGCTGTTTCCCTGGGGGAAAATATCTGTGTGGGAGGTGTATAAACAAGGAGCTGTTCTTCCTCCTCCAGACATGCTGATGGGCATGGAGACTAGAAGAGCCAACTCTGGAACTGGAAAGAGCCAGCTTTTTTATGGTAGATTAGTAATGGAGACTTGAAAATCTGCCAGTGAAACCAGGGCAGGCAGAACTTCCATCCTGGTGTATTGAGGATAAATACATGAGCAAGAAAATGTTTCTCCATCCCAAGAGAGCAAAAAAAGGCCCAAGGCTGGTTTTAAAGAAATCCTTTGCAGGTTGCATGCATGGTTTTAGGAATTGATTAGTAGACAGGCACTTGTTTAGGATGGTTTTGAGTAGGAGGTTTGACTAGATGACCTGGAGAAGTCCCTTCCAGCCCTACTTTGTTAGGATCTGTGATCACGTGCAGCATCTAGCCTAGTTGTCGCTGGGGGGAATGGATACATGTAACACTTAAACTGTTTTAAAAGCAGTTTAAACTGCACACATCCCAGTGTACAAGCCAGTGTAGAATTTTTATACATCCTGCAGTGTTTTACAAATGCACCTGGATAATTGGAGATTAAGCTTTCCATCACTAGTATCTGGTCAGTCCTCCAGGTATCCCACACTGTACCACTCCTTTCCCCCTACCTATGCATTGCAACTGACTGCTCTGGTACTCTGATAAAACCCTACTGCCCCAGCCTCTGTTGTCTGCACTTGACCAAAGCCTGCAGCATCTCGGGCTGATCTGGGAAGAAAAGAAGGAAGGCTGACCAGGTGTTGGGGGCTGCCTGGACACCTGCTTCTGCATGTCTAGGGCCTGGTTGCTCTGAGGCTCCCCACAGTTTCTGCCTCACCCTGTGGCTTTAAAAGGGCATTTTCCCCCAAAACTTGTCATTGCAGTCAATAGACCCACCACTATGCAGTGTCCCAGACTGATTTTGGGACTGAGGAAAGTGGAGGAGTGGCTAGCTAGGGGGATGCTGTCTGGACCTCTGCTTTTGGGTTCCAGAGGGTAGGGAGCCCTGAGCCTGGTGGGTGGGTGCACCTTTTAACTGTAAATGTCCACCAACTTCTGAGTGAGGGAAAACCACGGTACTGCACAATGCGCAGTTCATACCACAGACTGGCTGCCAATTCCACACTGTCAAATGTGAATTGGCCCATTAATTGTTAACTGTTCCTCACCTTCCAGGCTGTACCCTTGCCACTTGCCCTGTCCTGCCCTGCCTCTGCTCATTCCACCCTTATACACACATCTCTATGCAGTTTCTGGCAATGAAAGTTAAATGAGCAGCTTTCAGGCATCACCTCCCCACCCCACCCTCACTGCCTCCCAAATCTTTCTGGGACTGCATGGACTGGGTTTGATTGTAGGGAATGGAAGTGATTTAGCGGCCTTATGGAGGAAGTCCTTGCAAAACCACAGCAAGATGCAGAGATCTTGGGCTGCTCCCCTGGAATGCAGAAGCGGGGGCCTAGGCTGCACCCCCTGAATCATCTGGCTACCCCTCCACCCACAGGTCAGCCTGGGATGCACCAAACCCTGGTCATTTGCCAGGAATTGAAGTAAACTGATGAGCAGCTTGGGGAAAATAGTCTTTAAAAGCCATGAAAACTCCAGCAGGCCTGGAACACCCAGAAACCCAGAAGCAGGGGTCCAGGCAGCACCCCCCTTGCACACACATACTTGGGCACCCCCACTCAGGGTACCACCACACAGAGTTTGGTAAAGTCTTTATTGAATTCAGTTGCTCTTTATTAAACTTGATGTTAGTGAGAAGGGGAGGCAGAAAATTGCAGTTGGGTTGGATACCCACTGCCACCAGTTGTGTGTCCACACTCTCTGGATGTCTCCTGAGGAGGTATGGAACAGGGGAGGAGGTACAGGACAGGGAAGCACTCCCAGCTGCTGTCTCCACATTCCAGTATAATTGACTGTAAAATGTCGGGAGAAGTCCTTGAAGTCTCTGAAATTTATTTGATTTTTTTTCCCAAAAGTTTCTGGGGAGGTGACTTATAGTCTCTTAGGGTCTGTGGGGCTGAGAAGACATCTGTGTATGCAGTGCTGCTTGATCTGAGTGGTGTGGAAATACCAGAAGACAAGCCCTTGGTTTAAGATGAAGCATTATATGCTGATAGCTATAGCCTCTGGGAGTTGCATCTCAAGAAAAAAGCAGTTACTGACTACTTGATATAGGGGTGTGGATCCATGTTACCCTTCTGACTGAGCACCCCAGAGCTTCTAAAAATACCTATTTTTCTTGATATGCAAAAGTTGAAGCAGAAGGCTGAAGTTTTTAAAATATGTTGCATGATCTAACAAGCAGTATTCTTTTTGCCTGCAGGAGATAAGTGGTCCTTATCACTCTCACCCTGGAGTGTTGAGGACATGCTTAGCTTGCAGCAGTATTTCGTGCCTCTTCCCTGCCTAGTCTTGTCTCTGGAGTACCAACAAATGTTTGAGTTTATGTAGTTAGAGGGGAGCTTTCTTTCCCAGGGTAAAGCTTGCTAGCGGGAATTTCATGATGAAGTATAACTTTGAAAACTAGTTCATGTGGGATCTCAGAAGGGTTTCAGTTCTGAATTTTTCTTTACTCTTCTTAGGGTGGAGGGCAGGACCTGGTACACATCTCACCGGGGGCGACTATGGATAGCAGCTACTGGTAAAAGGCCTTCCTCGCAGGAAATCTCAGAGCTAGAGGCTGTCTACAGAATGTTTCACCGGAAAGGTGAACCTCTCTCTGGGTCTTTCTGGGGTTTTTTTTGGATATGTGTAGCTATGTAATGAGAAGTGTCAGTTATTACCACTGCTCTTTTTAACCTTCCTCTCTCCTTTCAGTTCCTTTTTTCCTTTCAGCGTTTCTCCAGCCAAAAAGGGCAGGAGGGTAGTTTTTGACCCCATCCTTTCGACTAGTCAGAAATTCCCAGCACAGGCACTTAGTGAATTGTGCCTCATTTCAACAAAGCCTCATAGCAGTGAAGGGCCTGAAGTTATTTTTGGTTCAGGCATTAAGACCTTGCTAGTGAGTGTACAGAGGAGCTGGTGCCTGTGTGTTTCTGCACTGAAGTTGAAATGATCATCATGCCTTGCCACCACTTTGGAATCCAAGGGAAAAAAGCTGCAGGTTACTGTGCAGATCTTTCTTCCTCTTATGTGACTAGATGAGCCCCAGGCATTGAGTCCTAGCCAATCTGCTCCAGGCTGCGGGGCCAAGTAGATGCTGCCTGTCAGTGCAGTATTTCTACGTGCTAACTAATCCAAATGTGATGTCTCTTTCTTCCTTGGAACAAGCAGCTCTACATTCACTGTGCAACACCAGGATTGATCCCTGAGAAGCCACAGCTGGGGAAAGATGTGCAATAGTCTAGTGCTCCTGTCTGGGAGTCTAGAATCTCCCTGTCGTGGCTTTTCTTGGTTGTTTACTTTATCATAGAATATCCTAGTATCATAGAGCAGTGGGGTTTGAAGGGATCCTTAGAGGTCATGTAATCCAATCCCCTGTGTGAGGCAGAATCATCCCTGTCCAAATCATCCTATATGAATCCATAATCTAAACTATTTTTAAAACTACCATCAACCGTGACACAACATAAGATGTAATACTCTAACCCAGGGGTGGGCAAAATGTGGCCCACAGGCCAGATGCAGCCTGCCAGGCCATTCTGTCCGGCCTATGGGACCCCTACAAATTTTTGAAAATGTAATATTCATCTGCCCTGGGCTGCCTGTCATGTGGCCCTTGATGGCTTGCCAAAACTCAGTAAGTGGCCCTCTGCCCGAAATAATTGCCCGCCCCTGCTCTAACCTGTCACAGGTAAAGCAGGGGGACCATAGCAGCCAACGTCCTGCTTCTGTAAAAGGTTGTTAATATATGCTCAAGAGATCCCAGGTAGTGGGTCACACCCTCATTACAGAAGGCAAAAACCTCATAGCCCTTACCAATCTTTATGAAAAACTTCTCACCATCATCACAAGTGAATAAGTATTTCAGACTGCTGGCTTTGCTCGGCAGTTGCCTGCATCCCCAGACTACCGTATGAGATAATGCAGTGTAACACAATCTATGGCAGTCACTGCTAAGGGCATGGCCCAGGATCGGAACAATGTGGGTGCTTCAGGTCAGTCTCGAGATGCAGTGAGTGAGTATGCTGGGAGCACAGTCCCAGCATAGCAGGAGTTTTGTAAGTCAGGCTTCAGGTGCATGGACAAGGCAGGCAGAAGCTTTGCCTTTCCCATTGTATGATTGGCTTATGCCCATGCTCCAAAGAAAATTTTCCTGAGCAGTGCACCATTTGGTTCAAAAACAAAGAATTAGAGAAAATAAAATCTCTTATGTCTTTTTGTGCCTCAAAATTGTGTGTGGGGGGGAGGGGGGAAGAGATGAGGGCAAAAGCATGTGTTTCTAATAGAGAACACATGGAGGACTGGAAGGGTCACAGGCCTTACCTGAGCCCATGCTCATACTCTGCTGCTTTCTTCCTCTTCATGTAGATGTGGAATTTCCTACTGATTACCCCTCTGGCTGCCTTCTGGGCTGTGTGGACTTGATTGACTGCTTGTCCCAAGAGCAATTTAAGGAGCAGGTGAGTCAGGCAAATCTGCCTTTGGGAGCTGACTTTTTAACCATTTGCTTACAACTCCTTCAAACTAGTTCTTCCTGGGTTTTTTTTTTGTTTTGTTTGTTTTTTGTTTTGTTTTTTTTAATATATCAATCCATAGGCAAGGGAGGAGAATGACAAAGAGATGGTCTTATCTATGTTAGGGAGAGAATCCATTTCTGCAGTGGTTTCCCTGAACCAGTGCTGAAGATGTTTTGAAGTGCTGGGCTAGGCCAAAGCATTGTTATCACAGGCATCAGCCTTGTTAGGAGCTGGTTGAAGTGAGACTGTAGCTTGTACTCAGTGATTGTTTTGAAACTAGTTTTGCAGACTCAACATTTGTTATTTGCACCTGCTTATCCATATCAGCAGCAGGTGAGAGAAGACCATGTCTCCAAAGTGTTCTCAGCAGCCACTGGACTCCCTGGGGCTGTCAGGCTTTTGCATCAGATATAGCTCCTTGGGCACCAGGCAGCATTCTCCAGGCCACTGCAGGTGAAACTTTGGGAAGCCTGCTGTGCTTTGGTAGTTTGTTAGTTAGAAACTTAAATTTCACACCAATGCTGCCCTGATTAAGGACCTTTATTCCACTGATACTAGCTCCTTTGGTTCCCCTTAAACAGACACTTCATGAATACTGCCCCAGTTAAGCAGTAGTTGTTGTCATATGCTTATGCATAGGTTGCTAGCCTGCCTCCCCAGTATGGAAAGCACTGACCCTGTACTCAGACCCCAGGTGAGGCTTGTTCATCAGGGCACAGTTTAATCACTTATTTATTAACGGCAGAATGTACAAAGGAGTACAAAACCCAGCAGTTCCCCTGACCAAAGCAGACTATGGGGGCCTTAGGCCTTTCTCTTTGTGTCCGTGTGTGCATCTCTGCTCCATGGTTATCCACGGGAGCCAGCATCCCTTCTAACCTCTTACAGTCCTTTACAAGAACTACTTGACCATCTCAGATGGGCCTGATGACGGGTTCCAGGCTTCCCAAACTTGGGGTGATTTTACACTGAACAGGAGCAGGGAGAGTATTAGAGACCAAGAGGATGTTTCTGAATTGGGGTACCATTTCTTCTCTGTTTAATTTGGTTTTTGGAATGGGGCTAGGTTAGAATATGAGCAGCAGAGGGCGCCTAGCCACTGAAGTACAACTGCATAGCCACTGAAGTACAACAAAAGACTCTTACATGCTGGAGCCAGGGTTAAGCCTGCTGCAGAGGTGACAAGATCCTAGAAAATAAAACAGGGGCTGGATCAGTTGTCATTATGTCCAGTCTTGGGGCTAACACAGGATTGTTTTCCTGTTGTGCATTATCCAATGTGGTATGCAGTCTAGTTGGAAATCAGGGCCTTTTCCCTTCTCTGCTGTCCTAAATGGAAACTCTCATATCCTGTGACAGATTGCACAGGTAGGAAATGTGTCCTGATCACCGCTCTCTACTTTTTCTTCCTTTGACAGAATCCTTTTACTCCTAGCTCCACCCTGTGGAGGTGCCCTAGGTATGTCCTCCCTTCATTGGTGGTTATGGCTATTAAGTGATAGCAGACATTTGTCATAGGTTTTCCACAATTTGTGTGAACATGAGCAGTTTGTAATTTGCCTTTTAATTGCTCCTCAGATATTAACCCCTCCAACCCCCTAGTGAGCTCTAATTTCTCTTAAGTTCCCTTCAGTTTGCTGAAATCTTCCTGCTCTTGGAAGTTCCTGGAATGAAGCATGGTCCTCTAGGTGCACCCATGCCCAGCTGTAGAGAAGACAGCTTTCTGTCTTCCCTCAGTGCTATGACACCTTTGTCTGTACAATCTAAAATCCCCTTGACCTTTTGTTGCTACCCTACTGCATCGTAATGCTTGTAACCCTCAATTTGCTGTCTTTCAATATTGCTGTCCAGATTCTTCTTCCCAGTCATTGTTTGTATGGTTTGCATTGATTTTCTTTCCCCATATGTATTAGTGTGAGCTGTCCAGGTTGCTGATCCACGCATGCTCCCACTGAAGTTGATGGCAAATCTGCCTATGCTAAGAAATTTGTCTGTTGCTGACAGCTGTCAACAACAGATATAGCTGAACCAGTGCTGAAAACAGCTTGAGGGTAAGCAAGACCAAATTATAGCCTGCATCAGAAACCCGAGTTGAATCTCACTGGAGAGAAGGGATCAATATTTTTTGCGGGGCCAGTGCTAGATGTGACATAGTCCTGTTGTCTACTGTTGGTTTCTTAGCACAGGTTCATCATCAGCTGGTACCAAAACCAGCGGGTAGGTCTTGCTGTTGCGGGTAGGTCTTGCTTGACCAATCTCATTTTCTTCTACGACCAGGTGACCTATCGCCTGGACAAGGGAGAAGAGATTGATATCATATATCTTGATTTCAAAAAATCCTTTGATCTGGTATCCCATGATCATCTCTTGGCAAAACTGGCCAATTGTGGCCTTGGATACACCATGATCCGCTGGCTGGGGAATTGGCTCTGTGGTCGGACCCAGAGGGTGGTGGTTGACGGAAGTCAATTGTCATGGTGCCCTGTGACCAGTGGGGTCCCCCAAGGCTCTGTCCTTGGACCCATATTGTTCAACATCTTCATTAATGATGTGAACATTGGAGTCAGAAGCGGACTGACTGGCTAAGTTTGCCAATGACACCAAACTTTGGGGCAAAGCATCCACACCTGAAGACAGGAGGGCGATCCAGGCTGACCTGGACAGGCTCAGCAAATGGGCAGACGAGAACCTGATGGTGTTTTAACACTGTAAAATGCAAGGTTCTCCACCTTGGGAGGAAAAACCTGCAGCATCCTTATAGGCTCGGCAGTGCTATGCTGGCCAGCACTATGGAAGAAAGAGACTTGGGGGTCATGATTGACCACAAGATGAACATGAACCTTCAATGTGACGCTGCAGCTAGTAATGTGAGCAAAATGCTGGCTTGCATCCATAGATGCTTCTTGAGCAAATCCCGGGATGTCATTCTCCCCTTGTACTCAGCCTTGGTGAGGCCACAGCTGGAGTACTGTGTCCAGTTTTGGGCCCCACAAGTCAGAAAGTATGTGGAGAAGCTTGAGAGAGTCCGGAGAAGAGCCACGCACATGATCAGAGGTCAGGAAAACAGACCTTACGACGACAGGCTGAGAGCTATGGGGCTCTTTAGCCTGGAAAAGCACAGGCTCAGGGGTGATCTGATGGCCACCTCTAAGTTTATGTGGGTGACCACTTAGGATCTGGGGGAACGTTTGTTCACCAGAGCGGCCTAAGGGATGACAAGGTCGAACTGTTTATAAACTACTGCAAGACCGTTTCAGTCTGGACATAAGGAAGAACTTCTTTACTGTCCAAGCCCCCAAGGTCTGGAATAGCCTGTCACCGGAGGTGGTTCAAGTACCTACATTGAACACCTTCAAGAGAAAGTTGGATGCTTATCTTGCTGGGATCCTATGACCCCAACTGACTTCCTGCCCCTTGGGCGGTGGGCTGGACTCAATGATCTTTCGAGGTCCCTTCCAGCCCTAATGTCTATGAAATCTATGAAAACCAGTTTTCAGCAAGGAGCATGTTTCTCAGTGTAGACAAAACCCTCTTAGCTCAAGGCAGGATGGAGTGCTTAGTTTTCTGTGCATTTTTTCTGTAGCAGTAGAAAGCGAATGAAAGCTTTCAGGTATAGAGCACAGTGCCGTAATATGGCAGAGGAGATCACTATGGGAGGACGAGCTGTTGGACTTTCTCAGACTTTCCATTTGGATTGTCCTTTTTTTTTTTTTTTTTTTTTTTCCCCCACCCCGTTCCAACTCCTGGTGGTTACTTCTTTGACTGCCAAGTAAGAGAGGAACTTCCCAAATACAGCATCCCTACATTTTCCAATGAGACCCAGCATTTGAAAGTTCAAAGTTTCCCAGTCCATTCATCATTGTGTGACAGTGGCCACTTGGTTTGGTTTTTTTTTCCTTCAACATCTGCACATTTGTTTTTGATCCCTCTGCCTCATCTTTCTCCCAAGCACGGGTGGTTCTTTTCCCTGCTTCCAACTCCCGTCAGCGCCTTTAATATTACTTCCCTGTCCTCACTGGTGCCGACATCCGCTTACAATTTAGTATTGCCTGCAGATTTAATTTCCTTGCTGTTTGCTTCCTCTGTCAGATTGTTAATGAAGCTGTTTAGTGACACCCTGCTGGTGTTTTTCTATCATCATCATCATTTAATATTTCTATTACAGTTGTGCTCAGAAAGCCAAATCAGAGTGGGAGTCCCAGTGTGCAGTATGCATACAGCTAGGTGACTTCAGGGTTATCTCCTTCCCTGGAGAGGTTACCATTGCATTGTTTGTTACTGGTTATTCATTTTGAAGATTTACCTCTTGTGCTGTGACCTCATACACTCCTGTGGGATCAGTCCTGCAGCACTTGCTTAAGTGTGTGCCTAGTTCTGTTTTGACTTCATTGGGGTTGTTTGTGTTGAGGCAGTTGGGGGATGATGGTATGGTGACTAAAATGATTGCAGCACTGGCAGCTGGGTCGCACAGGCTCTGATCCCAGTTGTGCTACTGGTTTCACTGTATGAATTTGAGCAAGTTGCAGCCTCCACGGACCTGTTTTTCCACATGTTAGATGCCACTTCTGTGTTAAAGATGGTGCAAAGCTCATTTTGTTCCTAAAGTGTGCTGTGATCATTCAGTGGAAGATGCCCTCAAAGGGCAAACAGTGATCAATACATAAGCCCCCTGCGTGAATTGTGTGACTTAAGCTTGTGACAGCAAAGGGAAGCTAGAGGGCCTTCCTGAACTCAGCCTGTGAAACGTAGGCGTCTGTTCCACTGCAAAGAGCAAAACTTCCCATGATGTGGCAACTCAGCTCTGTATTTCCAAGTGAGTCTAACATTTTCTGGGTTCATTTCCTTTTATTATGGTCAGCCTAAAATATACATTTAAATTAGAATGATCCCTTTGTTTGGGCATTTCTGTGCTAAAGTTGACCTGGAAACCTTTCTCCTTGCCA